AAATTAGGTTAACAACTCTTAATGCGTTTTTGGCAATGTTGTTACAGTGAGCTCTGGGGCTTAGATTGTTTGAGATGACTACTCCAAGTCCTCTATGAGGGTCATCTATGAGGTTGTATCTGACCAGCTTGTATTTGGTGTTCTGATTTTTGTTGCCAATCTATAAGACAGAGCATTTGTTACTTGAGATTTGGATATGCATATGCTTTCTATGCTTTCTAGGGAATTCTGGGAATTGAGGTCCAGACATCCTCAAGTAGCCAAAGCTGAGAAACATTGCTCTGTCCTTTGCATCTGGGGATAATTTTGTGCTGTTTGAGAAGCAAGAACCAACTCAACTCCCCAAGTTCCCCGGCACAAATCTTCAAGTAGCCGAGCTTGAGAAATACTATACTAATGTGTCTATTTTCCTGCATTCTCTTCTGACTTCCTGTTTGGAGCCTTAGCCCAGGGGAAGCAGCGTTCAGGGTCAAATACCATTAGCTAACGTTTTGGCCTTAACTTCAGGAAGTTTGCTTAATGCTTAGGCCTCTGGTGAGTCTCCCTCTCCTTCTTTCCCACCTGAAGTAGGAACTGTTTTGATCAACAGCTAAACTCAAGCAAGAACCCTCTGTTCACAACTACCACATTTTTTGGAGTATAAGATGTACCGGAGTATAAGATGCATCAAAATTTTGAAGAGGAAATTTTTAAAAAGAAGTTTTTGCACTCTGCAGACCTCCCAAAAACAGCCAGTTTTTCACGAAAATGGGCCCATTTTTTTCCCAGAAAAGGGAATGAATAGCCTTTTAGGAGGCTTATAGAGTGCTCCTGGGGGCTGGGAGGGGGAACTTCTGCCCTCCCCAGCCCCCAGGAGCTCTCTGAAAGCCTCCTAAAGGCTATGCACGGCCATTTTGGTGAATGGGGTGGGGTTTCGGGAGGCAAAAAATGCTGTATTCAGATGCACCCAGATTTTCAGCCTCTTTTTTGAGGGAAAAAGGTGTATTTTATACTCCGAAAAATACAGTATATTGAGCAGATAATTCTCATTCCTCTCCAGAGACTGGCTCAAAGAAGACCACTAAATAGGGACAGCATTAACTTTTAACAGAAATCTGCCTCAAATGGCAGATGCTGGGAGATAGACAGCTAAGAGGAAACTCTATGAGCCTTACTCTGCACTCCCTGTATTAATAGTCTGCTTTTGTGTGCAGTGAAGGACAGATCCGCACACTGATAGGAGACCCAGTTAGCAACAGCAATTTCTGTTGTAGTCCCTGTCTTGTGAAATATTTCCTCCCTCCGAGATAAGAATGGCCTCTCAACCCTGTTGGTTTTTTGCAGTTTTAAAAACTTGGCTTTGTACTCAGTCCTGGGACTCAGAATGTGCTAAGGGCCTCATTATTTGGCTTTACTATTAATTGATTACTTGTCCCAGCTTCTGCCAACCTAGCAGTTCAAAAGCATGTAAAAATGCAAGTAGAAAAAATAGGAACTATCTTTGGTGGGAAAGTAACTGCATTCTGTGCTCCTTTGGCATTTAGTCATGCCGCCCACATGACCACGGAGATGCCTTTGGACAGCGCTGACTCTTTGGCTTTGAAACGGAGATGAGCACCGCCCCCTAGAGTCAGGAATGACTAGCACGCTTGGGCGAGGGAAACCTTTACCTTTATCTGATTAGTTGATTAACCATCATGGTTGCTGTTTATACATTTATTTTGTGGATGCTTTTATTATTTAGTACTTTGAATTAATTGCTTTAGAATTTTAGAATTGCAAGCCACCCATTGTTACCTGGTTAAGCTCGGTGGCTATAGAAATTGAATACATAAATAAAATATATAGAGCCAGTCTTACTGAACTATGAGATCCAGGGCAAGGAAAGATTCATACCATATATGTATATATGTATGCATGTATGGGTTGCTACCGGTTCGCACCGATTTGGGTGAACTGGTAGTGGAAATTGGGCATGGGTCACTGAACTGGTAGGGATGGCAGGCTGGTCCAGCCCCCGAACCAGTTCCCTGGTCGCCCATGCCTTTGCCAGAATGTATTTCAGTCATTTTTTTAATGTGCTGCGCATGCGCAGAACAGTTTACAGGCTGTAAATGAATGAGGTCCAGCCCCGCCTAGATTGAGTGCATGAAGTGATTTTTTTTATCTGTTTTTCTTTTCGCTATTTTTTAATTTTTATCCTTTTAGTGATGTATTTCTGTAAGCTGCCCGGAGTCCTTCGTGATTGGGCGGCATATAAATTTATTAAATTTGAATTTGAATTTGAACTGCACATGTTCAAGCAATGTGTGGTGGGTGCACACGCGAAGTGAACCAACAGTAACACTGGCAGCAACCCACCCCTGATGTACGTGTGTATGTATGTAGGTAGGTATTTTCTGCTTTTATTATTTTTACAAACGACTCAAGGCAGCGAACATATCCACACACCTTCCTCCTCCAATTTCCCTCACAACAACAACACTGCAAGGTGGGTAGGGTTAAGAGAGAGTGATTAGCCAAAAGTCATCCAACTGGCTTCAGTAGGTAAGATAGGACAGGAACTGGTCATCCTGGTGTCTTAACCACTAGATCCAGCGCGCTCTCCTATGTTCATACTTTGAATTGATCTTACCTACTGTCCCACTGGATGAGGGTTGCAGTAGCTCACATATCTTTTTTGGGTTTTTTGTAAGCAGCATGGCATGACTGTGGCTGAGCTCACATAGTGCACTTTGTCGTGGCTAATTGACCAATAGCCCATTCGATCAACTGAATTATCAAGGTTCTCACAACCCAACAAATCAGCTGGGTTGGGTTTGCACAAGAAGATGTTAATATATGAGCAGCTGGTTTGTGGGTTTAGTGGGCTGTGAAGACACAGCTTCCATCCGGAGTCACAAGGTAAAGATTCAGTTTGCTCCGATTAGTAGTTCCTCTCTTAATATGTTTCTTTCCCCACCCAAATCTGCTCAGCATCTAAAGATAGGCTCTTCTGCTTGTCTCCATAGGTTTATAATCCTAACTTAGCTTAGCCTTGCAATAGAGATGCCCATGGACACCTTGCCTTCTCAGCCATTTGAGAGAAATGGGCTGCTTTTCTCACTGGTGGTGTGAACATGTTGGATGGAGGGGAATCTTGGAAATTCTGTGGCCAGTAGACAGGCAGCTTTTTACAGGAAATGACTGAGCAAAGCTAAGTTCCTCCTGTTGGAGGCAAGAGCAAAGCTGAAGCTGCTTGTAGAGCAAAAGAGAAGTGCCGGACCAAGGTATGGGTTTATGCAACTAATCGGCAGTATTGACCAGGAAGATGGCTGAAGGAGGGATCCCAGACCTGCCGCCTCAATCTCCTGCCTCTATCAAGGCTTATGGAACCATGGAATCAGCTGAGCAACCTCAAGGATCATCACAGCGACCCACCAGAAGGGCTTACATCGCTATTGTTACGCTTTGCCACCTGAACCTGGTGAATTACATGGACTGGTTTCTTGTAGCAGGTAGGTTGGATCCTATTTACAACTACTTTGTGGCAACAGCACCCAGAATGTGGGATTAATGACAGGCTGAAAACTTTCTTGCAGTTTGGCAACAACAACAACAACAACAACAACAACAACTTGGTTGATATCTAGGATGCTGGCAGCAACCGGTATCAACCATCAGCACCAGTCAATGATATTTGTGGATAGATTTTTAAATGTTCAGTTAACTGAGTTTAATGAATAAAAGATATTATTATTATTATTAATAATAATAATATCTTAATAATAATAATGCATTTTAATAATTTTAATAATTTAATAAAAAATTAATACAATTTAATAATTTTAGCTAATCCTAAAGAATTCAAAGAAAAGACGAACCAAGCTGTTCATGGCTTGGATAGACTATAAGAAAGCGTTTGATTNACTCAGAGGGCCCCTCGCTGTCAGAGTCTGGTGGCAGCTCCAACGGCACCTGCTGGGCCACAACAGGTTCATAATTATAAATATGCTAATATAATCAACAGAAGTATAAATAAGCCAATGTAAAGAGAAATTTAGCTAAAACGATTCTGTTACATTTTTACTATTCTTACTTGTGTTAATATTTCTCTCTATTTTTTCTTTACTTTTCTCTTGTAAATGATATACCCTGACAATCAAGGGTGGGTTGCTGCCGGCATTTATGCCGCTTCGGCGTGCATGCGTATTTGCAAATAAAAAAGGTCTGCGCATGCGCAAAATGTTAGGAAAGGGAGAAAAATTACATTTCTGCAGTGAAAATTGATCTGCGCATGCGCAGAACTGAAAATCAAGATGGCGCCGCCGTAGGAGAACCAGTTCAGGGGCGTTGCAAGCCTGGGTCGCTGCCGGTTCCAGTGACTCAGGCCGCCAAGTTAATACCGGTTCAGCCAAACCGGGCCAAACCGGTAGGAACCCACCTCTACTGACAATGCACTGTATTCAAAATGTTTATGAATAAAAAATAAGGAAATTTTAAAAAAAACCCTAAATGTTGACAGGAAACTGAATTTCGGACATAATTTCATATCCTGTGCTTTTTAAGAGAAGTTGTGGTGGCTAGCTTTTCTGAACTTAAGGCCTTTGTGATTATGAATGATGCTATGTTATTTTTTACATTATTTTTCATTTTGCAATTGCTTTCCGTATTTCCCACATTTAAAAACGAACGGCTTGGATTATAACTCCCTTGACATATTGGATTGCTATGATTGCTCGACTTACAACAATAATAGACACCAGAATTATAATTGTAAGTCATGGCAGTCATTAAGTGGATCATCGTGTGACCATGCCCAACTTTATTACGTTTTTTGTAGCAGTTGTTAAGTGAACATGGCAGTCATTAAACAAGTTCCTCAATGGACTTTTTTTTTTTTGCTGGAAACAGAAGAAACAGGCAAAAAATGTCAAAAAACCACAATCACATGACCATGGAATACTTTAAATGGCAATAAACTGGATTTAAAATAAAAAGGATATTTGCTTAACTGAATGCATGCATACAGATAATCCTCAACTTAGGACTGATCACTTAATGACCATTTGAAGTTATGTTGGACTTCCCAAAAGCTGCGTATGACACATCCCCAAAGTTATGACTATCAATAACCTATTGGTGAGGGTCAAATCTCAACAGTCTTGGACTTCTTGTCATCTTTGTCGTCCCACTGGTAATTGTTCTCACTGTCAGGACATTTTTCCTTAGAATGCCCCCACTCTAACACTCTTCTGGAAGGTGCTGAAGACCTGGTTCTGCCAGCGGGCCTGGGGAACCCAGAGTGGGATGGAGCCCATTAAACGGCTCGTGTGATGTGTTTTACTGGGGTGGGGGGGTTATTATATTATTTTATTATGTGATTATTCTCTTTTATTAGTTTTATTGTTTTATATATGAAGATTTTTACATTCCTGTAAGCTGCCTCGAGTCGCCATATGAGAATAGGCGGCAATATATATTTATTTAATAAATAAATTAAAAGATAGTTGAGCTGTGTTGAAAGTCAAGTGAGGTTGTTCATCATTACTCTCTTTTCTTTTCATGGCAGTTTTCATTCTCTGTTTCTTGTTCTCGGCTCCTGTTTTTGGATATCTTGGGGACCGATACAATCAGAAAATCACCCTCAGCATTGGAATATCCTTGTGGTCAGCGGCTACCTTTTGTAGCTCCTTCATCCCTGCCTCGGTAAGAGAGATGATTTGCTTTGGTGTATTCCTCTCTGCTCCATTCCAGATCAAATCTTTGTCCTACAGCCAGTCTGTTTAAATATTTAGAGATTATAGCGTGCATGTATCAAGGTCAGCAATATGAGGGCTGAAAAAACTCTTACCACATTACCAAATCCTGTACAGGAATACAACATCTCATTAAATATTTCAGTGTCTTCATCTAAGATTTTCAAAATCTTGTGAAGCGTGTTGATGATGAAGATAATCATTTATTACATTTCTATTCTGTCTTTCCTGCAGAAATCAAGGCGCCGTATATCATGCTCCCCAAAAATTTAATTAATAATTAATTATGATGGGATTCGAAATACACAGCAGCTTTTTTGGAAGGTTCAAGTAAGGTTAATAAGCTGTCCAGTCTTTCTTTGTCCTTGTTTCTTGGCCCTGTCACTTTTGCACATATTTATCCATAAACCTATCTTTTATTTCCACACAAATCCATTAATTGGATCATGAAAATGGGCATGTAAATAGTACCTAATGCATATTCTTTTAAAAATGCTGGGTCCTAAAATATGCATTTCCAAGGATATTTTCTTGTTTTAAATTTCCAAAAGTATCATCTGTCCATTTATTTATAAATATAGATTGGATTCTCACATTGCATTACGCCAGGGGTCCCCAAACTTGGTACCTAAAGACTTGTGTACTTCAACTCCCAGAATTCTCCAGCTAGAATATCTGACTAGAGAATTCTGGGAATTGAAGTCTACAAGTCTTAAAGTTGCCAAGTTTGAAGACGTCTGCATTAGGCCATTGATTGTAGCAGATATAATAGCTGGATCTTAAGTACTGCTTTAAGTTTTCATAATATTTAGTGGTGCTAGGAATTGTTTGTGTATTTAAGATCTAAATCTCTTTTGTATTCTGTGTTAGCTTGCTAATAATTTTCTATTTTTATTTTCTATTGAATTTTTTAAATAATGCATTATTGCATGTGTCTCTAGAAATAAAACATATTTCTGGTTTAAATTACTGTATTCATGTCAGAAGTAGGAAGGAACATATACGTTTCTGACAAACAGGAACTGCTTCAAGTCATGTTGACAACCTCAGTTTCAGATCAGAATAGTAAGACAAGCCCAAACTATATGAGTTTAGTGTTCCACCTTTTGAATAGCTTTTTAAGCCATATGACAGTGATTATAAACTTTTATTAAATGTTTTCCAAAGTGTCTAATATATATAAATATATTTCTTTTTGTACTGACCATACTTTATGATTGAAAGAGAGTAATTTCACAACAAAAAACTGCCACTTTTTTTGCAGAACATTCACGCTCATTATTCTATAGATTGCCTAATTTCAATCTCTTCTATTTTTTTCCTAACTTTTTAGAAACAGGCAACTTTTTTTCAGCCTGGGAACAGTCATTTTTAAGGGATCAGTCAACATTTTTGGCTCAATTTTCCTAGGGTGAAAGAATTGAGAACCACATTTTACTACTTAACCTCTCCCTTTTCTTTCAGGAAAAGTTAATCTAATGGATGCAAAAATTATATGGATTTTTGTGCAATCTTCCCCACACCTATTCACCAGAGTTTAATATAGAAGCAGGATTGAATAGAATAGGAAAAGAAGACATAGAGAATAGATACAGACCAATGTGTATCCATACGTAAATGATTGCAATTAAAACCTTTAAAAATTATTCTAGATATTGGTGGGCATGACTGAATGTGCCCTTTCCAAATTCTCATCTAGATGCCCTGGCTGTTTTTTATTTCACGGGGACTGGTGGGTGCTGGTACCTCCAGCTTCTCCACCATAGCACCCACCATCATTGCTGACTTGTTTGAGAAAGACTATCGAACGTGGATGTTGTCAGTCTTCTACATCTTCATACCTGTTGGAAGGTAGATCTAACCATGCTCAAAGACTGAACCTACAGTTACTAGATATATTGCTATGAGTCATATTCATATCCTGCTTCTCATGCAGGAGTTCAAGGTATCATTCTTAACACTGAGTCACAGTGGTGCAGTGGTTAGAGTGCTGTACTGCAGGCTACTTCTGCTGACCGCCGGCTGCCTGCAATTTGGCAGTTCGAACCTCACCAGGCTCGAGGTTGACTCAGCCTTCCACCCTTCCGAGGTGGGTAAAATGAGAACCCAGATTGTTGGGGGCACCAGGCTGACTCTGTAAACCGCTTAGAGAGGGCTGTAAAGCACTGTGAAGTATAAGTCTAAATGCTATTGCTACTCAAACTTTTATTTTATCTCATTGCAACCTAAACTAAGGGATAGCAACTAGTCTAAGGTCACCCAGTTAGTTTAATCCCATATCCATGGTCTCTTCTTATATAGGTCTTGTGGCCCGCCAGCGGAGCTGGTGGCAGACTCAGACAGTGAGGAGGTTGGGGAGGAACATGGGTCATTCCTGGAGTCTGGGGAAGGCTCTGATGAGTGCTCCTGCGTCGGAGGCAGAGATGGGGCCAGGGGCCTCCGACAGTTATCAGCTGCCTTCAGAGTTGGAGATCAGTGGGGCAGAGGAACAGCTGGAGCCTGTTCCTGATGTGCGCATGCCCAGAGCTGCCAGACCAAGGGAACAGCTAAGGAGCAAGGGCCAACTCGGGAGTAAAACCACAGGTGGACAATGAATGGCCCCTCCCATAGGGAATAAAGAGGAGCGAAAGGGAAGGGGAGTTTGCGGGAGACAATTAGTTCAATTCATTAGGGTGAAGATCAGTTTCTGGCTTCTTACCAAGTACTGTCTGCTACAGAGGGGTGTTTGGAAGATATCGGCCTGGCAACTCTCCGAGCCTGATAAAGGTCTGTAGTTGTGAAATCCCATGAAAGACTATTTGCCGGGACTTTGCTGGAGAGGAATTCCCTTTAACCTAAATGAAATAACTTTTATCAGGACGAGGAGTCTGCTTCATGATCTTGGGAAGCCTAAGTCAGAACAATAGGATTTCTTGGGGGAGTGGGCTGAATTATGGGTTCTTGGGTTCAAAATTGATGGGGTGGGGAGGGGATGGTGAAAATGGATAGGCTGTCATTAGGTATTGAGCTAGAAATCTGTCCTCCATCATTGAAACTTGATTCCTGTGGTGGAAGGATCTTCTGGGGGTGACTTAAGGGATATGCAGTCTTTCTCTCAATACAGGTAGTCCTCAAGTTACAACCATTCGTTTAGTGACCATTCGAAGTTACAATGGCACTGAATCCCCCCCCCTCCCCAACACACACGTACAACCGTTGCAGCATCTCCATGGTCACGTAATCAAAATTTAGATGCTTAGCAACCGGTTCGTACTGCATTTCTGATGGTTGTACTGCCCTGGGGTCATGTGATCTCATTTTGCGACTTTCTGACAAATGAGGTTGGTGGGGAAGCCCATTTCACTTAATGACTGTGTTACTAACTTCACCACTGCAGGGATTCAACTGTGATAACATGGGGGGGAATTCACTTAACAATCACCTTCTTTAACAACAGAAATATGGGGCTCGGTTGTGGCCATAAGTCAAGAACTACCAGTATGTATCAGTTCAGAGATCTCAGTCAAAATCATTTCTAGCTCCCTCCAGAATGTAGCGTGAAGAATAAGGGGTTGAAAGGATGGGAAGGAGGATACCTGCACAACGCAGGAGGCCAAACTCTGTGGCTTTAAGGGCCTCTTTCAACTTGGATTTTTTCCCCTCTCTTGCAGTGGACTCGGTTATATCCTGTCATCTGGAGTGACGCGTGCAAGCGGTTTTTGGGGCTGGGGCTTCAGGGTGAGTCTTGGTTGGTCAGGTCTATCTTTAAGAGAATCCTCCTGGTTTAAAACGGTGAGGTTCTATCAATCTGTTAGTAGTGTAACTTCTGCTTTCTCTGTCAGCTGGTTTTAAGACAACGTTGAAAAAGAAATCATGTACGGAAAGGCACTGACATAGTTCTTCAAAGTTAGAATTTTTGTCTATGTGTGTGATCTCTCCCTCTTTCTCTCATCTCTCTTCTATATCTATCTATCTATCTATCCATCCATCCATCCATCCATCCATCCATCCATCCATCCATCATCTATGTCTGTTGTCTGCCTTCCTTTGTTCCTTCCTGCCTGCCTGCCTACCTATTTTCTCCTATTCATCTCTCTCTCTTCTATCTACCTATCTACCTATTTATCTATCTATCCATCCATCCATCCATCCATCCATCCATCCATCCATCCATCCATCCATCCATCCATCATCTATCATCTAGGTCTGTTGTCTGTCTTCCTGCCTTCCTGCCTATCGACCTACCTATCATCTTCTATTTATCTCTCTCTCATCTATCTATCCATCCATCCATCCATCCATCCATCCATCCATCCATCCATCCATCCATCCATCCATCATCTATCAT